ATCAAAATATGTCGTCGAAAATATTAAATTAAACTAAAAATAGAGACGTTTTAAGCAAAAAAAAATGTTAACATGCTAATCCATTTCCCATATTTAAGAATAAGAACAATAAATTATAGACTGCCATACCAATTTCTTAAACAAAATGGTAAGTGTAAAATGGCAGAAAATAAAAAAAAATGCCACAAAAGATTCACTGAGAGTTTTATTAAGGTTTCAAGATGAGCTAGGGATCTGTCTTAGATCCTCCTTCCCGGATCTTTGGATCCCAGTAACTTATTTAGATCCCCTCTCCCTCTTAATACCGCCATCCGATTTATTTAACGTTTTAACTACTTAATTATTTTGAACTAACTAAGTACTATTAATCCTGTTCAGTGGTGCTGGAGTTTCTTTTGTTTTAATTACTTACTTTTTAAATTAATTATAGTCCTTACCTATGATAGAATATCTAGAATAGAAAATCTACATGATTTTTTGGTTTGTAATTTCAAATTAACTGAATAAAAAATTTTTTTTCTAAAATCGTCATTTGCTTAATAACTTAGTGTTTTGTTTTGAAAGCTTGCAAATGTGTTTCCTACAGACATTTTACATTTTCCAAAATTTTAAAATCGTCCTACATCAGGAAAACTGTTCAATACCCAAAAGCCTCCTCGAATTTGTTTCCTCCTGTCCGGCACATCTTTTCAATAAAGGCATCATCGAGCTCCTAGTGCGTTGACAAAGATGCATTGATTGCATGTATGATTATTTAGAAATTTAAAATACAGAAGACAGTACGCTACATTACATTTCATGAAAAACGTAATACTCTCTACCTATATAGGTAGAGACTTACATATATACATAATATGTATATCTTCAATGTGTACTGATGAACAAAGTGACAGACTATAATAGTTATTATATTTTGAAGTTTCAAAGTACCTGTTTATTATTTCGTTGAAATAAATGATTTTGAATTTGACTTATTTTTTAAGTTACATTAACATCGATTCAGCAGTTCGATGATTTTTGACATATATAAAATATAAAATATGTACCAGCTCAGCGTATACGCCTTTAAAGGTATTATCCGTACAACAATTCTCAAAGCTAGTAGCAATTAAAATTTTTAACAATATGTAGTACACAATCTCTACAATTACCATCAAATATTTGTGATATCTCACATAATTATCATAGCTCACTGATTGTTCTACATTTAAATTGATAACTTTATCGGCCATGTAAGAAAACTGTCTATGTAAAAAAATACTTTTTTTCTTGGCTATGGCAATGTCAGTGGTCTTAATAATTACTGCCAAGCAAGGAGGCCAACGTCGTGGAGACCCAGTAGTTATGGCACCCGCTTCTCATGCACGAGGAAGCGGGTTGGAAACCTTGCAAGTAGCAATGCGTTTTTTCCAAGCTATATGTTCCTTCTATCATTACTTAGACACCACTTAAATACGGTGAAGGAAAACATAGTGAGGAAACCTGGCCTTATTTCTAATTATAAGTTTGAAATCGCCCAATGATCAAGCGTAGTGTGATAATACATATAAGAAAGTACTTGATAACAGTAGTTCCCGCCACGGAAAGTAACAGGTATTACAAAAAACAGTTGGTATCCCAAATCACAGTTCAAATAACACGCTGTAATGTCGTAACCTGTTATCGGAATTAATAGATATGCCATAGAGTAGAATGTTTTTTTTTTGTTATCAACACCTTTTAGTTTAGTAACTGTAGGTCGGCCCGTGGCCACTTTTCCCATTGACGTATATTCGGTTGAATTTTTTCGACGCAGTAAAGATATATTTTTTTTTTAAACTAAATGAAAATATATTTTTGTTAAAAAGAGCGAGTTTTACGAAACCAGCGTGAAGCAATATTTGCGTTGTGTTTCGCCGCCCAAAAACTGCCTCCTGTCCCATCGTCAATCCCCAACAGCCCCTTTTTTGCCAGGTGAAAATCATCAAATGGCTTCTCCCGCCCAGGGGAAGAAGAGATTGAGTGTCAGACTCTTATTAACTAAAAACTCCCCCGTTCCTTCTCCTGTTTTAAGTCGAGGCCGCGGTGCCGCAACCCTGGCTGAACATCAGCCCTGTAGGGCCCCGTCTGTGGTGTGTTATAACCCAACTGTACTCCCTATATACATATATAATTGTGATTCATTCACTCATAATAATATATCTGATAAAAAAGTCAATCTACGCCATTGAGGAAAAGTATATTATTTTTATCCAAATGGTGAGTAAGTATCAAAGTCCACACTCCTAATCTAGATCAAAATTGCTAGATAAGCGATATCAGACAGACAACGTCCTGTCTTCCTAGAAGACCATCAAATGTTGATAGCTTATCAGTCTACGTGGTGTGGACTTTGAACAGTGTCTGTATTCGTATGTGATGGTATTATTATCATATTTTGAAGAACAAGTGGAATGCAAGCTAGCTAGCCCGTTTACTGAAAATTTCTACCGCTTTCAGACATTCAGACACAAAAAAGTTTCTAACCGTTGCCCAGAGGTTTTGACCGCACGGTTGGCGCGGTGGCTGGGCAACTGGCTGCCGATCCACAGATTGTTGTTCCGGGTCTGGGCGTGATGTGCATGTGACATTGTATGTTTGTAAACGCACCCACGACACAAGAGAAAATCTTAGTGTGGGGCAACATTTTTTAAACACAAAAAAAGACGTTAAGGCACTCGCTTCCCATGCGAGTTCAAAACCTGGCAAGTACAAATGTGACTTCTTTCCAATTATAATGTATGTCGTGTACTTTCTATGATTATTATTTAGACATCACTGACATACGGTGAAGGAAAACATGGTGAGGAAAATTGGACTTCTAATTACTAATTATTACTTTGAAATCGCCAATCTGCCTTGAGCAAGCATAGCGATTGATGCTCAATAGTCTTTATTTTTTAATCTTTTTCAGCATAGGGCTGAGGCATATGATACCTACAACGAAAAAAAAGAACCTTGTAAATCGTCACACCGTCACTAATAATTATATTTCACGATTATCCTCATTAATATTCGTATTTCCTTTTACCGATAAGTCAAAAAAATAGTAATATAATAATGTAATATTACCTCTATAATATAATAATGTAATATTACCTCAAATAGTTTGAGGTAATATTACAAATAAAATTATGACGTCAGATCGTGCTATTTCATAGAAAGTAAAAGTTTTTGACATTTCGGAGAAAACTAGGCACGTACTAAATTTAATTAGTTGGAAACTGCCCTATTCATATCAAACCTCTTTGGGTATGGTAACATTAACTGCTGATTTAGTATAATAATATAACATAGACTAAGGCCCGAATGAGTACATTCAGGCCTTAGTCTGTGTTATATAATATATTTCCTTATTAAGTCCCCTATCGTCTCAAGAACTATAAATTAGACTGAATGGTTCATGTAATCTGAAAGCGAAATGGCTAAGAACCTCAAGACTGAATTTGCCTAAAATTATTGGTACGGTTTATGGTGTAACATGACGGAAACATTTTATTTTTTCTGTCTCCAGAATCGAGTGCCTTCCATGAGTGTTCTCTCCAGGTTGCGAAGGAGTATATCTTTCCTTCGGCAAAACCCTGAAGTTTGGTAGAACTTGAAAAAGGAGGCTTTGTGAAAGAGGTTACTGGAGGCCCAATCCTTCATCCTCTTCCAAATTCTTGAAATTTCCGAACCCCCCCTTCTAATCCCCGAAAGGCCGGTAACAAAGTCAAAATCATTTATTCCAACTAAACGATAGGTAGTTTTGAAACGTCAAAATAGAATAGTAGTCTGTCAGTCTGTTCGTCAGTGAAGCTACGTGCTCAACGCACTTGCTTGCCATCAGATAATCCATCTGAACTGACGTCCAATCACAAAAAAATATTTGAGATAAATCTCAGCACATATACACATATAAAAATAATGTAAAGTAAATATTTACATATAGAAAGATACCGTAATATCATAACTTTTGACATTTTCTTATTACAATACAAATAGTTTAGGTAGCTTGTAATAATAAAAGTAAAATATGGCGGCCTACGCTCGTACCTATCGAACGAGTTCCCGATACAAATTGTATTCCTATATTTTGATAATATGTAATACTACAAGTAGTACATAGTTTGTTTGTATCGTTTTTTTTTTAAATTTTTCTTCCTTCTATTCTTTGCCTAACTGATTTAATCAGTTATATTTGTTATACACCGATACAAAAAAAAACTTTGGAATGATCTTCCGGCGGCGGTATTCCCGAACCGATATGACCTTCAAACCTTCAAGAAACATGCGTACTCCTTCTTAAAAGGCCGGCAACGCACCTATGACTCCTCTGGTGCTGCAGGTGTCCATGGGCGGCGCTGATCGTTTACCACCAGGTTATCTGTCTGCTTGTTCGCCTCCTATTCCATAAACAAACCAAGACCTTACAGATATCATGGCCTCACCGATATTAAGGCCTCACAGATACCAAGGCCTAACAGATACTAAGGTCTAACAGATATCACGGCATCATCGGTACCAAGGCTTCCCAAATAGCAAGGCCTCACAGATGCCAAGACTCCAAAGACACAATGGCCTCGCTTATACCAAGGCCTCATCAATACCAAGGCCTTACAGATACCACGGCCTCAGAGATACCAAAGACTCGTAGATAGAATTGCCTCATAGACAACAATATCACCTCCCACATACAACTTCCTCTCCGACACTTAAACCTGCACTTTTCACTGATTGTTCTGAATGTCCAACGAAATACTACTTTCGTATCTTTGATTTAATTTTTAGGCGAAATCAGTGAAAATTAACAATGATTTTTACTAATTTGGAAAGGAACACCGAATTTGAGTAACACCGAAAAATTAATTTGTCACATACACCAATTTCCTTGTGAAATCACAAAAGATTGCATATCTATATTTGTAATCTCTATCGATTTGAAGATATACGAAATAATGAGGGCAATGTCAAAACGTGGCCGTACGTTGTACTGGCAACACTGTGTTTTTTTTATTATATGCAATAATATTATTTAGTGTTTAGAATAATGTGTAAGTTTTTTCAAAATCCTATTTCTATACAAAAAGTGGTAATTTTAATGGTTAAAAAGTTTGGGATTGTTCTTGATTTATGACAATTTGTGTTTGAATATGAGCAAGTGTCGTGGTGGCCCGGAGGTTATAGACCCGTTTTTATGTATGAGGGTGCGGGTTCGAAACCTGGCAAGTACCAATGTGACCAATGACGATAGTGGTTATATCCTCTTTGAATGTGACTATACTTTCTATTATTATTTAGATAGCACTAACTAACAGTGAAGGAAAAGATCGTGAGGAATCCTTATGATTCCAAATTATATAAAGTTTTAAATCAAGCACGGTGATTAATGCTCAAACCTTCTCTGTGTGAGAAGAGGCCTTTGCTCAGCAGTGGGCACTTATAGGCTGATGATGTGAATGTATACCTGTGTGTGTGGCGTTGTTACAATTTAGTTTAAATGTAAATACGAAATACGTAGGTACCGACAAAGAAAGAATCTTACGAATTGCTATATGAGAGATAAATTAAATATTAAAAATTATTAACTGCACGGTTGGTGCGGTGGCTGGTGGTGGTATTTGGAATGAGATATCACGGTTAATGAAATACAGCCTAGTGATAGACGGACATACAATGGAGTATATTATTAGTAAAAGTTTTCTTTTTCTACATTATTCTTTTTCAGCTTGGTACCCCAAAAATGGTTAAATTAATCTCTGTGTCAATATATTTTTAGTTCTTTGCTTTAATTTATTGCCAAACTGCCTATAAAATGAAGGAACGCTCCAAAAAAATAAATAAGATCATTTGGTACAGAAGTAGTGATGATAAGATATGAAAAAAATGTTTTATTTCATTAATTAACTCGTATAGGTATGTAGATAAGCATAAGCTTATAATATAGGTGTTAGGATTAATTACATACAATTATTATAAAAGGGATCACTCGCACTTTATCAAAATGATTTTTTTAGCCTACACATTAGTCAAAAATCAATAAAAACTTTGGCATTACCGTTTAAAAATTAAAACAATGAAACAATGAATTCATTTTTGCAAATAGGCGATAATATGGCACTTTTACACGTCAAATTATATGTAAAGAATTAGATGGAGCCGGCATTTCCTATCTGAGAAAAAATGCCGAAAGAAACTCAGAGGTTCGGCTCTTTCGACATAATAACATTTAATTTAAATAACTATCTGTGAGCGGTTTAGCAACACTTTAACCATAGGAGTATGGCTTGCTTCGGCACGAATTGGTCTTATTGACCGGAGTATACCACGCCTTGACAGGAAAGTGGCGTGAAACACCATTTTCTATTTGACTATTCTGAGAAGAAATGTCGAAACAGACTCGGAATGTACACTCCGACAAAAAACGAATATAAAGCAATGTGGGTGAACCTTGCAGGTTCACTCTGCAGTGGTCTTTTGAGGAAAGAACCACAACAGATTTAGTAGACCCGCTTAGACAGTAGGCACGCATGTGTCAGTTCACGCAAGTTTTTATACCTAAATATAATTTACCTCTTTGCAATTATTAGTAAATAAGAATATTGTAAAAAAATATTAGTATATCAAAAATATATTTTATACCACTAGATATGTCGCAGCCTAATAATTTAATTAGCACTCCAACTAACGGCCTGAATGACTAGTCGTTTCATTGGATAGCTAAATTTCTCATTCAGACTGTAAGTTGAAGAAAGAAGGCATTGCCATGAAAACCGAGTTGCTATCAAAACGGTAGATAAGGTTAGGTTAGTTAGTTAAGTTAGAATTGTGAATCATATACAAATCGAATAACCATAGCTAATAAACAGCTTTTCAAATTGTACTGCAATGAGGTGCTAAGGTCTGATTGATTGAACAGCTATTTTAAAAGCTGGTTGCAACATATATAGGGCGACTGGTAATAAGTGACCGGTATTTAAATAAATTTCCAAAAGAAACATCTTTTCCATCCTCATTACTTTTATTTTAATTATTTTAATAAAATTGTTGTGTAAAATTCTAATGCGGTCACGCGGGGTCTAGCCGCTAACAGCTGATCGGGTGACTCACAACGGGCGCACGAACTTTGTTATATAGTACTTAATAAAAATAAAACTAAGAAGTATAGAAGAAAAGTTTTTTTATGAAAGTTATTTTTTATCTTAAGTACAATCTCATGTTAAATATCGGTCACTAATAACCCTACACTCGTAGAAACATTTAATTAACTCAGTGACAAATATTCGCAAAAATTCAAATCTTCCAGGGTTGCTACTCCTCTTGATATCGCCATGCCTGGCGCAATTCCAGCTGCACCGGGAGCCCCCTATCCCCGTCGACGCGCCCAGGTCATCCAGGATGCCGACAACAGGCTGGCTGCAAGTCCGGCTGAACCACTTCATGGCGTACGACACGAGGACTTTTGCTATGGTAACTGAACTGTTACATTTTTAGTAGAATTTGTTCCGAGTCTGGGTGTGATGTGTATGTGATTTTGTATGTTTGTAAACGTATCCATGACACAGAGGAAAATCATAGTTAAAAAAAACAAGAAATGTTTCTTGCCTTATTGGTCGATTTTCTACCAGTTTGATGTTCTTATGGTCTCGGGTTCGTTTCCCAGGTAAGGCTAGGCATAGTTTCTCCTCGGAATTGTTAAACACCTCACTACCCCGTGCAGGAGACAAGGCCCGTAGGCCAGCACTAGGTTGGGATTGCTAAAAAATGTGGATTCCCGTGACCCCATGCTCACGTGCGAGGAGACACCGGGGTGGTTTTAGCCGGTAAGAGTCTGGCATGCCTTTACCCGGGCGGAGGAAGTCCAGGAGGATTTCCCACCTGTAAAAAAGGCATAGTTGCTGAATAATGTCAAGAAGTCTTCAAATATTCCTCTAATACCCTCACCTTCCACTAGTAGTGTATATTTTTGAGAACGAGAAATCATTTAGCTGCTTTCTTCCACCCTGTGCAAGAGGGATTTTCAGACTATCTGACTAAAAAACATCCTGTTCCATCACCTGCGAAGTGGGATGCCTCATTGCGATTAGCCCGTGACCTTGTACGTGATCGTAGCTTTACGTGCCATTATGACCAATTGTAAGGAGTAAAAGGAGTAAAAGGTCCTACGACCTATAATTGTTCTTCTAACGTCGTGGTGGCCCGGAAATTAAGGTGCCCGCTTTTCAAACATGAGAGTGCGAGTTCAAACAACCAAAAGCCAGGTTCTGGTGGCTGTCTAAGTACCAATGTGACTTTTTCCAAGTTATATGCACTTTCGCTGATTATTTAGACACCACTAGCATTCGATGAAGGAAAACATGGGGAAAAAATCTATTAAAATAATTTCTAAAATTATAAGTTTGAAATCCCGAATCCGCCTCGAGCGTAGTGATTAATGTTCAAACAATCTCCGTGTGAGAAGAGGAATGAGGAGAAGGATTGTTCAGCTGTGGGCACTTATAGGCTGATGATGTGATACTTCTTATAATTTCTGAACTCCACGTTTATTTCATCACTAGCGGCCCGCCCCCGCTTCGCACGGGTCCAACTATCTGGCTATCAAAGGGTTACTTTTTCCTAATCTTCCCTAATACCCTCTACTTTTCTAATATTTTCTTTGATAAGAACCTTCTCCTGACAATAACAAACACAACAAAAAAAGAATTAGCAAAATTGGTCCAGACGTTGGTTAGGTATACCAACACATTTTGAGATCCATTTTTATACATATATATAAAGATTATCACTCGTCGATTAATTGTTCCAGAGATACTACTACAACAACCAGTTCGCTGACATTCAGAATCCCAACATTGTGATCTTCGTTGGAGGAGAGTGGGAGATCACTCCCGACTATATGCGACTCGGCTTGGCCTACGAGATGGCGAGAGAAATGGGAGCTGGACTCTTCTACACGGAGCATCGGTACTATGGACAAACCTTGCCCTTCGAGTGAGTAACGTCTTTTATTTTTTTAGGGAGGGGAAATCATCCAATGACTTCCTTTCTTCTTCGCCGTAGAAAGAAAGAAAGAAAGAAAAACATATATTCTAGCGCAAGCGCACACACAAAAAACCAAAATACAAAAAAAAGAAGAAAATAACTATACTAATAAAAAACTTAAATATGATACAAGTAATGGGTACTTAAAATAAAATTATTAACAAAAAAAAAAACAAACAAGTAAACTTTTATCTATGGTTGGTGCGAGGTCGCGTGTATCTTTTTCATTATCTGTGGATCATAGCTGGAAGGAAGTAACATTTGTAACAAATAAACGTCATGCTTATATGCTCAGCATTTGCTGAGACTGGGGTCTCAAGGAATTGGTGCCACAGCGCTGATTTTCAGCATACCCTTGTACATGCATGAGGCAAGATTAGAATGTCAGGCTCATTCTGACTCAAAAACCACCCTTTACCGTTTCCTGCACGTCGATTCTATAAAATTTTGTTTGATTTTGAATCTTGTTCGAGTGTGCAGAGAGCGTCGAAGTAACGGAGATATTTAATTTTAGAATGCCACTTTTAACGTCATCTCATACTTTATCTATCAAAATGTTGCTGTCAATTTAGTTCAACTTGCAAGTGTAGCGCTAGTGTACTGCTCCTCACAGCGGATTCAGATTTGAAGTTTAGAACGAAGTCTTACAGAATCACACTGCTGCTTCAGGAAGAATAATAACCCTCAAAAAGCCAGCAACGATCTTATCTAGTGAAGTGGGTGTCCATTCATGCGACGATGGCTTACCACCATTGATGCTTTCATCAAGTACCAAATCAATGAAAGAAATTTTTTTTTTTTTGACATCGAGTATTTCTATTTGACAACTAGAAATTTGTTTTTTATTTTTAATATCTCATTCTAGATATAAAATACTAGCTACTCTCGCGCGGTTTCACGCGCTGCTCGGCTTTATTTGATCGAAGCGCGATGTTTTATAGCCTATCATTGAAAGAATTTTGGCAATCCGACCAAGTTCCAAAGATTTACCCCCTACATACAAACTTACAAATTTTAACTCTTTATAGTATTAGTATAGATGTGAATAATTTATTTTTGACCGAGGAAGATAGCACCATTTGAAGCCATCTTCTTCTCCATCTTTAGTAGCCATTCGTGGATCCAGTATCCACAATGTTTATTTTCTGACCATCATATCAAAAAACTGTGCAGATTCTCCATACATGTGCATCTTGTTTTCGTGTATATGTCCATATTAACAAAGTACATAAATGTCTGTCCCTGGATTGAACTCACTACCCTCGCCAACTACCCGTAACGTAACTGCATACAAGCACACAGCTGCCAACTAGGGCGACTATCACACCGTAGCGTAAATAGCTGTTGAAATAAAGAAATATATAAGTGTGAGAGAGTCATGCTTCGGCACGAATGGGTCGTCTCGACCGGAGTGATACCACGGTCTCACTGAAAACCGCCGTGAAACAACCACAGTTGATCTTCGCCGTGTGAGTGAGGTTACTGGAAGCCCAATCCTTACCCACGCCCAAATCCCAAAATCTTCAAATTCCTAATCACCAAACGGCAACGTACTTGCTTACCATCAGGTAATCCGTCATCTAGTTTGCCGCCTTATCACAAAAAAAATAACATTTAATCTTTCTTATCTCTAATAAACTGACCACATATTTAGTCACAGCCAAACATTGAGATTTCCCTACACACATATTTATTGTAACCCTTCCCAATCTAAAAATATTATAGATGCGACAAGTGGTACAGATTACGCAGAAATATCAATAGAGGTACTCGACACGATTCGATAATGTTATCTCCAAAACTAATCCTTGATAACCTCCCGTTTCGTAAAGTAATTTACTTACGACATTTAGTTTTTTTTAGTTTAAAAAAGACTTTGCTTTACATTAGGATTTTCTCGTGTGTCGTGGGTGCGTTTACAAAGATACTTTAATATTTACAAATTTCAAATACAGTTTTTATTTTAATGACAAATAATGAATACATAATTCCATTCAATTTGTCATTAAAAGAAAAACAAAAATAAAAGCCATGCTTCCGTGCCATGTGATATCACGGCCTCACAGAAAACCGGCGTGAAACAACCACAGTGTTGTGTTTCGCCGTGTAAATGAGGTTACTGGAGGCCCAAACCTTCCCCTCCCCCAATCCCTCAATCTCCAAAAGGTCGGCAACGCACTCGTAACTGCTCTGTTGTTGCGGATGTCCATGGGCGGCGTTGATTGCTTACCATCAGGTAATAAGTCTGCTCGTTTGACGACTTATCAAAAAAAAAGTCAATCTCGAAGTTATTTATTCGAACTAAACCATAAACGTCTCGAATCGTCATAGTAGAATATTAGTCCGTCAGTTTGTTCGTCAGTGAAGCTAGGTGGTCATTCCAAGGTCAGAGACTCCCTTCGTATGGTGCGAATTAAAAACGTTTATTTTAGTGTTATCTAGTCATCATTGACATTATGTGTCACACGGTAAAGGAAAACGAACGAAGTTTGAAATCACCAATCCGCCTTGAACATCTTTTTTTTAGGCTGGAAAGTCATTTGATCAGATACCGGTTAAGTGGCTTAACATTATTTAAATCCTACTTATGTCATAAAATTTGCAATTTTTGGAGGGAGAAAATTCATCAAGTTTTTTCTTTCAATGACTCTTAGTGATTAAAACAACCCGTTTTTTCTGTTGCCTGAGCCGTACATTAAATCCATATTTAGACAGCGTAAAAAGGAAAGAAAGAAATTTGCTTAGCAGTCAGCGAGGCCGATGATGATGAAAATGGGCAATGAATTCGAGAAATAATAGACGTAACTTTACTTCGAATCAGACTTATTCGACCTTGTTACATTTATGTTATATCTATTAAAGTAAAACCTTGGGTACTTACCTTTCTTATGAATACGAAAAAATCGAATATTTACTGTTAGTTGAGGTAGTTGGGGAATTTGATGGTTTCCAATATCTTTATGTTTATGTTATGATCAATATAAATATTAAAGAAAATGGCCCCCAAACTACGTATTTCAGGGGCCTGACAATAATATTAGTTATAACGACTTAGATATAATATTACACATATTATTTGTTCAAAGAGGTCCATATAGTCACGGTACGCATCACTTGTCTCTTTCGAAGGAGTCGTAAAACTCAATCAACAACAGATCACATCACATCATCAGCCTTCTTATGATCTTATATCATTCCTTACGATGCTTTCCTTCACAGTGTCTCAGTGTGGTGTCTAAAACGACTTTGACAAAGTTACATTGATACTTGCCAGGTTTTTGCCCTTCCATGAGAAGCTGGGGCCATAACTAGCAGTCCACTGCGGCATGCTGTCGTTACTACAGGATTACCATATTTAAATGACTAGATAGCAACGATCTCTTATAAAACTTTACCATTTTTAACAATATACATATCTCGATAAGTTTCGTAAGACATTCTAAATTAATGAGTATGTTTTCGGCTCACTCGCGTAATAATTTGACGACATACTCGACTAGTTTCAAGCCATGCTAGAGGCCCATATTCATGAGCAGCATTCCGCGACACGCGACTCGGCGACTGTCGCGCTGCTACTGAGTAGCATTTGCTGCAAGAACCTGTGTAGACCTTGCTAGTGGTCTATTATTGGCCCCATAATTCCTTACCACCAGACGCATTTTATGCACGTCAAAGGCCAAACGCTGATCTATAAATAACAAAAATAAAACGATACCTAAACATTTGTTCCTGCGATTGTTCGATTCTAAGGTCGGGACAATATGTTACCGAATTTCAAAGTTGGTGTTACATTTCAAAATGTGCCATGAGCTATGATTATGTGGATTCGTTAAATTGAGATTTTTATTTGAACAGACCAATGTTGCCTATAATAGAAGTCACTATAACTAACTAACATTTTCATGTCTAATCATTTAATCTGTGATATGATAAGGCTATTATTTATTCAATTACCGTATACCGGCTAGTATTTATATTTGGTACAGTTCGGTTTAAGCAGAGCAGAAGCCTGTAGTATCAACGATATAATCTGTGTTGTGAGCTCAGCCATCAGATGTAACAGAACTATATAAAAAGGATTAACTTGATAGTTTGTTTGCCATTCGTTTAACATAACTGTAGTTTGATCTGCTACTAATTTACTTTGTTATGTTTGTAGATTAAGTGTTGATTATTGGCTTATGTGCGCGTAGTTGATTATGTGCGCGACAGTGGCGACGCGTAGCGTTTACAACATTTAATGTCAAATAATAACAATGTAAACATTAGAATTTTCTATGCAAATTCATGTGGGAGAGCCAGGCTTCGGCACGAATGGGTCGGCTCCTCGACCGGAGTGATACCACGGCCTCACAGAAAACCGGCGTGAAATAACCACAGCGTTGTGTTTCGCCGAGTGAGTGAGGTTACCGGAGGCCCAATCCTTCCCCTCCCCCAATCCCTCCTAAATCCCTAAATCTCCAAATTCCTAATCCCTAAAAGGTCGGCAACGCATTCGTAACTCCTTTGGTGTTTCGAGTGTCCATGGGCGGCGCTGATTGCTTATCATCAGGTAATCCGTCCGCTCGTTTGCCGACTTATAACTTAAAAAAAAGCATATCAAATATTTCTAATACAATTATAATAACAAGATATATTTACTCCAATACATAAGTTAGTAACACTTTGATAGAAGCAAACTAACCTTCAATATATGGTGTCAGAACCATGGATTTATGATGCCATACGTAATGCAGTGGGTTGGCAGAGTGCCAGGCTGCCAGGCGAGCCCTCGTTCATATATCACCATGCTATTGTGATCGTTTCGTACTTACATAGATGTTGTAGTGGGTATGTAGGTACTTTTGACCAGTTTCAGGATAGTTTTTTAATTGTTCTTTTTTTTCTATACTAATATTAGAAAGAGGAACATTTTGTAAGTTTGTATGTAGGAGGTAATCATTGGAACC